GCCACACTCTTTCTCTGGAAACATCTTCCTTTCGCTCTGCCCTGCTTGCCCTGCCTGCCCCTCCCCGGCCTTCAGACAGGGGACCCAAGGCCACCTTCGCCCTGAGCCCTCCGTGGTTCCCTCAGCACCACTCCCCCCTGGACACCGGCCCACTGCTCGGCCTTCCCCTGCCCCTCGCCTGTGGCCGCCTCCCTGGGCTCCAGCCTCAGCCTTCAGCGCTTCTTCCCCCTCACACGCTTTCCATCCTTCAGGACACAGGCCTCTCCGAGTCTCCTCCCAACCCTCGGCCGGCCCCACGCCCACCTCCACCCCCTTGCCGGCCACAAACCCGTCTGCTTCCCGACACCATTCCATGGGCTGGGAACACACAGGCCCACAGGACAGACACGCTCTCGGCCCTCATGGAGCTTACGTCCAGCAGCGGAACGGACCGTGACAGGCAACAAGGAAACTCCAGACATCGACAGATTCTTTCAAGAAAGTCAAACAGGGTGGCGCAGCAGGGAGTGGTGTGGCTGGGGCTGAAGGTGTGCTGGTTAGCTAAAGGGTGAAAGTTAGCTAAAGTCTGAATCCTGAAACGGAGCAGGAGGCTGGACGCGGTAGCTCCAGCCTGTCATCCCAGCACTTTGAGAGGCCGAGGCGAGAGGATTGGCTGAGCCCACGAGCTCGAGACCAGCCTGGGCGACTTGGCGAGACCTCATCTCTACCATAAATCAAAAAAGTAGCTGAGTGTGGTGGTGCATACCTGTAGTTCCAGCTACTTGGAAGGATCGCCAGAGCCGAGCAGGTCGAGGCGGCGGTGGCTGTGAGTGTGCCACTGCCTCCCAGCCTGGGCGACAGAGTGAGACTCAGGCTCAAAAAATGGAAAAGGAGAGGGAGGAGGAAGTGGATTCCAGGCAGAGGGACCAGGCCCAGAGGTAAGACCATGCCTGATGCAAGGGATAAACCCAAGGCGGGAAGGCCAGACCCCGGCGGGCTCCAGAGGCCGTGGGGAGGAGTCTGGAGCAGTGAGAAGCCACTAGCAGGGTTCGAGCAGGGCAAAACCAGGGTCTGCTTGACATGAAAACAACAACAAGAAAACCTATCGGCCTGTTTCACAGGCATCTCCCATAGGCCACCTGGCCCAAACCTGAAGCCTTTCCGGCACCCCCAAGGGGCCCAGCCCAGTCAGGCCAGCTCGGGCCCTTCCCTGAAGCCTTCCTCGCCTTCTCCACCCACCACCCAGCGTGGCTCAGCCCTCTCCGTCCCGCAGCCCCAGGCCCTCCTCCACCCCCTACATGGCAGCCAGCCTCGAGGACAGAAGCCAGATCAGACGCATCACTCTGAAGGCCTCACATAAAATCCAGATGCTCAGTCCCAGACTCCTGCCTTCCACACTCTGGCTCCCCACGCCCCTGCCAGGGCCTCTGGAACAAACCTGAGCCTCTCATGCCTGCTCCTCCTTGGCACTCGAGGTTGCCTCCACCCACTGCCCACTGGGCTATCACCTTGGCTCCGCACTTTGTGGCTGGATGACCCTAGGTCAATGAATTAACCTCTCTGTACCTACTCCTTCAGCTTCCTCTGCTGTACTTTGTAGGTGACAATTAGGTGGCTGTGAGACACAACAAATCAGAGCTCTTCCAGCCTGCCTAACAGCCCCGAGAGGAAGACTTCTCGACCATCTCCTCTCCGCCAGGAAAGGTGAGGCCCAGGGACCAGAGGCGACCTGCCCAAGGGCTCACAGGTGGGCCTGGTACATGCAGGCTCCTGACTCCTGGCCGGTGCTGCCCACACCCGGAGAAGTGAGTGGGCGCCGCTGAAGCACAAGGACACCCACCATATGGTGAGCTCGGTGCCACGTGGGTAGAGGGCAGTGCCACCGAGTCCCGCTGAACCCAAAAGAAAGGCCCTGGCTTTTCGACTCAGAGTCTCAGGAGCAGAGACTGCACGCAGCTCTGTCAAGATGGGAAAGATGACTTGGCATGGCCCTTGAGCACAGTTACCACCTGGGGGGGCATCTTCGCCCCAGCCTGGGTTTTGTCAGCTGTGGAATGTTGAAGTCCGTTGCCCAGGGCCAACTCCCCGGCTTTCAACAGGGGAGGCCACCCCCTCCCCCGCGCTGCAGCTGAGGGCTCGCTACAGCCCCTCCCCGCAGGCCAGAGACACGGGACAGGGGTGGGGAGGGCTCCGACCACCCCCCACTTGCAGGAGCCTAGGGGAGACAGCAGACCCAGGTGCCGGAGGGGCAAGGAAGTCGGGAAGGGGGCCTGGCCCTTCCCTTCGCGCCAGAATCTCCTGCCCACCGGCTAAATCAGGGGTGGGGTTTGGCGCGCACCCCACATCCCAGGACAGCAAGGGGGCTGGGAGAGAAAGGGGTTGACCTGCACCAAGATGCCCTGGGGTCTTCGAGGAAACACTTCCCCTTGAAGCGGACCGCCCCAGGGAGACTCCCCATCTCCGCCCCCTGCCGTGGCCAGGACCCGCCCCCCCAGCAATCCGGGCCTCTCCGCAGCTCCCTCGGCCAGCCCAGGGAAGGGGTGTGGGGAGGAGAGGAAGAAGCAGGGGGCCGATCCCGGGTCCCAAGCTCTAGGGGCAGGGAGTGGCCGTCCCCCGCCGGGGGCTGGACCTCCCCCTCCCCCGCCCGCAGCACAGGGCCCGGAGCACACCCCGCGCTCACCCAGAAGACAATGTTGAAGCCAAACAGGAAGTATTTCCCGCAGCAGCCGACCTCGGGTTCCTGGAAGTGCTGGTGCTTGCCGGGCATGGTGAGCGGCCGCCCGCCGGCCCGGGCACCGGAGCCGG